TGACATTTTGCACACAGACTCGTTGTGCGAGACAATTAATGTTCGTGAAAAAAAAATTCATAAATTTTACACTGTTTAGGGAAAACAAATGAAATATTTAATTACCAATTGCTTAATACTGGCAGACAATCATCTGACCCATAGGTAGCAGCCATCTCAAGCCAGAGGACGAGAGGACTCTAGCCGCCACGCATATAAAGGATTTAGAGTGAAAAACTTTGTTTTTACGGGTTATACTTGTTAGAGTTGGATTTCGCCGTGTAACCGGGAAAATGCACCGGAAAGCTACAGACTTTGACTTTCAAACAACTTTTATTGCTGCCAGCAGCAAAAGCACGGGAGGCGATTTCAATATGAAATACACAAAGTCACCAGCAAACAAATGAAAATACACGCTACAAATCCACGCGCTGTGGCGCTAAAAGCACCACGCACAACACGAAAGAAAAGCCACGTGGTGGTTCTGGTGGTCATCGCGCACGCCACGGTGACGAGCGAGCGCTTCGGAAGAGCGCGACTTCAAAAAACGGACCGTGATTTGCATCGCAATTCACGAAATGCAAAAATCGCGCTGAAATAATCTCTGATGCGCATTGCCGTCTCCTGCCACGCTGCCTCCATGAGAATGACCGCGCAAGGTCCTTGGCCCTCGAAGTGGTCGGGAATCCGAGGATGCGCGTGTTCTTGAGCTTGGAATGTCCGCGCGACGCGTGGGCCCCACGTTTCGGCAAAAGCGCCACCGCCAGCGATCGTTTTGACGGCGCTCGTTTTGACGGCAACATCGTCTCGAGCAAATCATAATCAGAAAGGGGTTTATTCGCCATGAAAGTTCGCACAGACAAGGAATTTACTTTGGCAGGAAGGTGCATACATTCAACATATAGGAATCTTAAATCTTAAATAAGTGGTGTACAAGTCTTAACTATACTAAAGGTACAACGTCTAACTAATACTAAAGGAGCTAAAGTATGTAAAAATTTTGAATAAAGTAAAATATAAAATAGCTATAATATACAATATAAAAATACAAAAATGGTAACAGTTACCCCAAAGGGCCCGACGCGAACAGTCCCCTAGCTAACTTTGACCCCCGCGACCTTTACGCACGCCCGCTGCGCTCGTTGGCAAGGGGAGCGATGATCACGTCCCCGCGCGCGCTGTCGATGAGTCCACGTGAACGTGCTCGCCCAGAAAATCCACTGTCGGAGCTCGAAGGGAGAAGAGTTCTTGATCGATCAAATCGCAAAGGTTGGGGGGAGGGGGGGGCGGCACAATCCTGGCAGGTTGTTCCCACCTGTGTTGCCGTCGGTGGCGTTACGACATCATCAGCTCAAGGGGCGCTGCAATCCGTCAGGTGGGGAGAGGGTGATCCCAATTCTAGATTTGAAGCTTTCGTGACTGCAAGAATTCATACTCTTAGGTTTTTTCGGTAAAGTCACGTAGGAAAAATAATAATAAAAATAGAAAAAATAGAAATAAAATAAATCTATTATTTTCGATTGCTTTTATTATTTATTTTTATTATTCATTTTTTCCCCTACGTGACTTTACCGAAAAAACCTAAGAGTATGGGGATCCCAATATTTGATTTGCCTTGCACGGTTCACACCTGGGCTACATATCGCGGCGCCTCTTGCCTACGTCTTTGTTCTTTTACACTGTTGTTGAAAAACGCATCTCATGGCAGTTGTCGATGGAGGGCCAGAGGTCGCAACCGGGTACCCGATACCTGAGGTGTGGACTCGAGTCATGTGACTTGGACTCGAGTCAGACTCGAGTCATGAATTTGATGACTTCAGACTCGACTTGGACTTGCATAACAATGACTTTGTCCCACCTCTGAGGTGTGGACTCGAGTCATGTGACTTGGACTCGAGTCAGACTCGAGTCATGAATTTGATGACTTCAGACTCGACTTGGACTTGCATAACAATGACTTTGTCCCACCTCTGCCCAATACCCTACCCGATACCCGGCTACCCGTACCCGGCCGGGTACGGGTAGCCGTTTGCGACCCTGGTGCGGCCGGGTACGGGTAGGCCGTGAGTCACTGGTGAGTAGCCGTTTGTCACTCATTTCGGGTAGGGTACGGGTAGGGAACAGGAACCCGTACCCGGCCGGGTACCCATTTGCGACCCTGGTGCGGCCGGGTACGGGTACGGGTAAGGAATAAAAACCCGTTTGCGACCTCTGTGGAGGGCCCAACTCGAAGCTGGCCATATTATGTTCTACATTTGCATTGCTTCCTTGCGCTGACCTTCGGTGAGGACTTGCAGCTATGTTCCACACATTTGCTCTCTACCTCGCTCTCTGGCAATACAGGTTAGGCCAGGGGTCGGCAACCGAAATATAAGCGGAGACATTTTGTTCGAATTCGATTAAAAAAAACCACTCTATTTCAAGAGAATATGAGGAGGTGCTTAATAAATAACATCAAAACGCATTCCTTAAAAAGGCCGCATACGGCTCCCCCAGCCGCAGATTCCCGAACCCTGGGTTAGGCCATCGTCATCTAAACAGACTCAGGTACCCCATTGTATTTCCTGCATAACTACGTGTGTACTCACATATGTCAGCTATGTTTAGAGAGTATGTGTCACTGCATGACGCTTGCACGATATTGGGGCGCCACGGTGGCGAGATGTTAACTACTTCGCCTGGCTTGCAGGAGATCGTGGGTTCAATCCCCGACCCTGACGCCTGTATCCATAGAGTTTGAATGTTTTCCCTGTGGTCGTGTAGATTTTTCTCCACGTCCTCCAGTTTTCCCCTCCACACTTAGAAACAAGCGTTTAGAATATTTGGTTGTGGTAAATTTACACGTGATAAGCCACTTCGTTGAGCTATCATTTGTGGCCAGGTCACTTCTCGAAAAGCACGAAATAGTTCAGGCGGCCTTAACTGGTAACATTAAAATTTTTATAGTTTTTTTTATATTAAATGCGGTGAAGCACATGTGCATTCACTTGAAGGTGTACTTTTGGCAGATTAGTGTTCTCATCCGGATATCTGTGATAATAGCTCCTCTTAACTGCAAGATAATTTGTGGAAAAACGCAGACAATAGGATTAATTTCTCATGTACCTCAATTTAAATGGTAATTGTTGTGGGTTTGCTCTCCAAAAACCCGGTGTGCTGAACTGGTAACGAATTGGCATGTTCTGTTTATGTGAAAAACCTTACTAATTCGCTGTCAGGTGGTGGTGGGTTTTATGGCATTTATACTTTCGCAATCCTACCCAAAAACTCCGTTTAAACACCAATGGATGCATTCAGTGGCCACCATCACGATGAACCGACTTCTTATTCACGAAAAAACTGATATGGAGATAAAATTCACATATACACTCACATACTTCAGGAATTCAGTGCCTGAGATCGCAGTTATGGTTCATCAGGTTTTGGATAACAAAATCTTACTGACCTACGGATGCAATATAATATATTAAATGTGTGCCATCGTCATAATTATGCTCAACATTCGCATTTAAAATGCATTCCATTTACTAACGTTAAAAACCTTGAAACGCAAATGCAGTAGTATATTATGTTCTAATGCTCACAACTTTAAAGACGTCTTTGGAAAGTTGTGTGCATTGTAAATGCATCCGCGGTACTTTGAGTTGTATAAAAAAAATAAACATTTACCAGCTCTTGTAAAGAGCAATTCGGTGTTCACTGGTCAGACAACCCACTTTAAGGTGTTGATGTTTAGCCGCCATGAGACTGTAAATGAAACCGTGATAGCAGTCATGGTGACAGTCCAAAGGTATTGCCAGTGCAAGCTGGTCATGCATCACCACAAGGGGCACGAGAAGGCTCAGCTGCACATTCCATCCAAATCTCGCATTTAAATAAAAATTGTATATCCGTGAAGCCTTCCTCTTTTACTACACATTGTTCGCGTGGCTGATGTTGATGTCGAACAACAACTTATTATATTACATTGAGCTGGTGGAGTCAAGATAATTGCATCAGGGGGGGGGGGGGGGGGGGAGATTGTATCGCTGTGAAGGTGTCGCCTTCGTATTTGTCAATTGGGCATTGAGCCGTCAGATGTTCCGCGGTCTGTTCTGGGTGACGACAGTCGTACACAGGAGATGTTTTAATTTCCCATTTGTGCATCAGGTATCCGCATCTGCTGCCCTGGTTTGTGCGGATGCGGTTTAAGGTTGCCCATAAGCTTCGCAAAACATAGATGTCATCAAGTAAAATTTAATATTGTAGTCCTGTAACGTTATTCATATATTTTTTAGATATCAAAACTCATCATATCTACACAGTATGTTACGGAATTAAATTTGACAGGTGTGTTCTCATTTGGTGAATCTGGGTGAGAGAGGTTATCATAGTACAAATTTAAATAGTTCCAGAAACCACTATAGTATAATCACCTCATTATATCCAAAGCCATTCAGTGGGCTTTGTTAATATATTCTTAATACAGCAGAACCTTAGATACGCGTTTAATTATACACAAGGTCAAATATTCTTACATTGCACTTTAACAATACTGACACTCAAGTGTGCGATAGGGCAAGACACACCAGCCACCAAGTATATATCTGAGGCCACTCAAGCATTGGGATGTCCCCCGTGTCATCTTGAGGTCATCGTGATGCTTGGAACGTGTATTGGGTTCACAACCAGTGCATAATGGGACAGTTGGGTAATTTACAGAGGTGTAAAGCACTGTTGACTGCTGCGTTTTGCAATATACGATTTTGGATTTATATCGCAATATAAAATGTGGCTGCATCTCAAAGTGATGTACAAAGAGCAGGACATGGATACCACTTAATACAGGGCAACATGAATTGTGGCTGTTAGCAGCAGTCAAACGTGGCTAGGAAATGTTTTCAGCAGATGTAAATCTCAGCGATATTTTCTGACAACGAATTGGGGTTGTGGTAATATCAGCGATAGTCAAAACGGCAGAGGTCTGAACACACAGACTGTGCCAAAACAGTCGCTCATAAAATAGCACGTTGGAAATGTGAAAAGATACAACTCAATAACTGTTTTTAATTGCATAAAATAAAATAAATTACATTATAGTAACAAGGACAAACAAACACACCTGTTGTGTTTTCTTACCTAAAAGTAAATGAGTTATAATAACATAAGTTGGCTCTTCTTCACAGAGTACGATGGGAAACAATCATTCTGTAACATATCATGAATTCTAATTTATAATTACGAATGGTTTTACCATTAAATTAAGATATAAAACAAATCAGATCAAACGCAAATACATTTTTCACACTTACTACAAGAATTTAAACATTTGATTATTCATATTTTTTTCTACAAATAACATACAAAAATTCTTCATGGTCACTTGCAAAACCTTTCATTTTCGTTATGCAACTCTTAACAAAAGCCAGAAAACATTGCACCGTTACAGCTGAACGAATGTATAGCGTTCATTACTGCAATGACAACACTTTAGTTCAAGCCTTCTGGAGGTCCTTCATGAAGTCCTGCTGTGCCTTTTTCATCTCGTGTCCTTTCACCCATGTGTAGAAAAACGATCCGGTGAGGACCAGCACGTTGCTGGCCCACCAGAGCACGGTCTTGAACTCGCCAAAGTAGGACACGGCGACGACGGTCTGAACGCACGCTTTCGCCGTGCCGGACACGTTGTGCGTGAGCGGGCTCGTCGCCTGGATCTGCAGCCCCGTCACATAGCCGATGCCAAAGCCCAGCACGCCGCCCACCGTCATGATCATCCAGAAGTGCGGCGAGAAGACGTGCTCGAACGCCAACAGCTTGGGCACCTCGCCGACGAGCAGGATGATCGGCATGAAGAGGAGGCACGCGTTAATGTTGTTGTAGTAGGCGAGACGCCACAGGCTCCCGCCAACCAAGGGCAGCACCTTCTTGGTGTAGATCGCGTTGAGGGAGACGCAGAGGCTGGCCACGACGCCGAACACCACGCCGGCCACGGAGAGCGTGCCGCTCATATCCTCCTGGTCCACGCCGAGCCAGAATCCACCTGCGCTCATGGAAATGGGAAACCACAATCAATACCACCCAGTCACATGACACCGAGTAAATGTATGAACAATAAGTGTCATTAATTCTAACCATATTGATTAAGCAATGCTACATATTCATTATAATTCGCAGCTTTTTTGTCAGATGAAGGCCTCTCCCCCATGACGTGTTGGTCGTGAGGGTTGTTTGACCATATTTCACCAGGCTGGTGGCCCAGGAACGGTTAACATATCAATCGCCATTGATTGTCAGTCATGGCCAGGAATCGAACTGAGGTTGCCGGGTTTATAGCCTAGTTTGCTAACCACTGTGCCACTGCTTCACCACCATACTACAAATATAGGGCGAGAAAGTTGAAACTACAAATACAAAACATTTTTAATTTAAATAGTGTCTAAATGCAGCTGAGCCATGGGGTTGCCCTTGAATGTGAGAAAAATATTTAGATGAATGTATACAGCTTATCAGTTCCAAGAGGGTTTGGATTTTAAACTGGTTTGTCCTGCATATTATTGTTGTTGTAACTTTACCGTGTAGCTAAGATCTACGCTGCTTTTGACCAAATATCCGGGAATGTGCCCACTCTAGTTAGATCTGGAAGCTAAGCCTGTTTGAGCCTGGATGTGTGACCACAATGCACAGCACGTTGCTATAGGTTGCAGAGCAACGTGGTGGCAAGCATAAGACAGTGCAGTGACATCTATTACTTAAACTGTATGGCTATACCCCCAAATTCTAGATTTGAAGCTTTCGTGACTGCAAGGATTCATATTCTTAGGTTTTTTCAGTAAAGTCACGTAGGTAAAAAATTTAAATTAATAAAAATAAAATAAAAATCACGACGTTTCGGAGGCAACACAAGTTTCCGTCTTCAGGTGGAACAGTCACAGAGCCTACCTTGGCTCCTCCCACCCTCAACCAGTATATATACAAATAGGGTTTTCTTGGAATTTCTCTCACTTGATACAGCTATCGTGCTGTGACTGTTCCACCTGAAGACAGAAGCTTGTGTTGCCTCCGAAACATCATTATTTTATTTTTATTTTACTTTTATTAATTTAAATTTTTTAACCTACGTGACTTTACCTAAAAAACCTAATAATATATACCCTCAAACCCTCTTTCCTTCATATACCCCCACTGACCAGCGTTGTGAATTATGGTCAAAAAAAGCTTTACGATCTGCACGGCGTCAGGCGACCCTCATCAAGCAGTGGAGTGGCAATAAAAAGACCTGTACACGTACATGTACGAGACCCGGAAAATGTTGATGCCTGGCAGAAGCGGTGCGTGACTATTCGCGGCGAGTACCGATGATCATTCCGCAGCACAAGAGCGCCCGGAGGGATGTGCCCTGGCCCAGGATCATGTAGGACATGAGTACGTTGAAGACGGTGGTGAGGGAGCGGCCCACGTTGTAGAAGGAGATGCCGACGAACTTGAGACAGAGGTTGTTGAAGGTAATCATGCCCGTGAAGACCAGCGACAGTGGCAGTACCTGCTCAACGAAATTAGAAATGTGTCAGTGCGCACTTTCTTATAACAGAGACACAAACTGAGGCTCCATCGTTAACCAAGATCGTGTCTTTTAACTTGCATTATGTTATTGTATTCATGTGTTTCTCGTTCTGTCTCAGTGCATTGACAAACATGCACCTCTCCATGGCTAGTTATGCAACGTGTCCCCAAATGAGGACTTCTTCCTAAACTACATCACTGTATACCCTCAGAGTAAATGAGTAACTTTCACCCATAAGACAGACTTTTTTATGGCATCACTTTTTTTCGTAATATAACAGTTACAGTACTTATATTTTAGTCATTTTCTGAGTTGCTTCTTGTTCAAACAGTACCTAATGAATTGATCTGCCTCTACATATATACCACATTTAAATTGTGTTTTTTCAAAATGTTTTACACAATGTCTAGACATGTAAAGTGTTAACTTTAAGTGATTTATTCCACAGAGCATGAAATATGAATCATTATCTCCACACAATCCCCAAAGTCATAAAGGAAAGTATGAAATAATGGCATTTTCAGCACTATATCTTTTTGGGCACATCATTCCCAGCATAACATTTCCTTAAACAATGAACATTGAGGTCTAAGTCAAATGAGCTGCGAGGCTGTAGTATACATATGCCAGGGTCCAACTGTATTGGAAACAGAGCAGTAACTCAAACAGCCTCAACGAAAAACAGTGGCGTTGTTTTCCAAAAAGTCAGGACAGTAAGAATACATTCGTAAAGAATTCAGAAGCGTTACAGTCTTGCACCAATGGGCATCCAACTGTTGGTTCACCAGACGCTCAGAATAAATCCTTTGGTTAAATATTACAATAGGATATTCAGTACCTACTGTTCACAATAGCATGTCGGCTCTCCTTTGTATGGATAAATGATAAACTTGTTCGACAGGTAATACCATACAAAAGCAATGGTCAAGCCACTGTGTCCTGTCCATCATAAAGGTGCAGCCCTGCAATTCTTTGCTCACACCACTACCGTCAGAAGAACCCCTAAAAGAGGGAGCTCTAGAGAGAATATTTTGGCCTCATATTCCACACATGACCTTCCCATCAACTGTGGTATACTCATTTATACAACTGGGTGGAAACAGACTGAGTGATTGAGAAAAACGTGTCCTATTTTGAAATGTCATTTAAAAAAAAGGTCTACGTTTTAAATGTTAGCAATGTATTCGGTAAGGGAGTGTAGGGTCATGAGCAATGAGTGGATCACTACATATTATTTTAGCTAACCTTTTCAAATGATCACAAGATGACATACTATATTGGAATGGGATAAGTGAAGTGTGATCTACACCCATAAGTAACCTGCAATGGAAATCATAGGGCACCATCGATGTGTACAAGTTTTAATGACAATTTAAGGAGTCTATGATATGTATGGCGGTACAGTGGTTAGTGCACCACGCTATAAAAACAAGGCGGGCCAAAGTTTGAGTCCCGGTCATGGCTAAAAGCAGGGGGCGACTGCTCTTTATCACTGAGAGCTGCAACAGGTCTCACTCGTTTCGGATCTACAGGTCAAATAACTTGTTAAAGCATGTTCTTGCTTCTTTCGTTAAAGTCACGTAGAAGGGAAATAATAAAATAATACAAATAACTATAACATTCTCACGACGTTTCGATTGCAACACAAGCAATCATCATCAGAATATGAATCCCTGCAGTCACGAAAGCTTTAAATCGAACAAAAAAACTGCTTAAATGATCAATGTGGTAGTAATCATGTGAGCCAGTGGTGGAAGTTTCACTCTTCCCCTGGATATCTGCTGTGACACTACTTGAAAAGGCAGTTACACAAGAAAAGCAACACATCCTTATGCTTCCCAGTGCCAGAACAACGCCTCCCCTACACCCTTGCGGGTCCAGTAGGTTAAAACTGACCATACTTCACCACGCGGACATTTACATTTGTGAAGGTGAGGGAGCATGGACGTGAAGGGGCATAGAATTATTGTACAACAGTTCATGTTGCTGCACTACGACTCTGCTGCCCGTCACGCAGCCTTGGATAAAGCTACGCTCTTTATGAATGGTGATCACGACACAGACCCAAACCTTTAAGCTGGCGACATGCGATTAGATTTTGCGCATTCCGGGCGATTTGGTTATTGTCTCAAGTCTACAACACCTCCAAATACAACACCCTTCAACTACCCCCATCACCTCCAAATAGAACACCCTTCAACTACCCCCATCACCTCCAAATACAACACCCTTCAACTACCCCCATCACCTCCAAATAGAACACCCTTCCAACTACCCTCCAGCACCTCCAAATACAACACCCTTCAACTACCCCCATCACCTCCAAATACAACACCCTCCAACTACCCCCATCACCTCCAAATAGAACACCCTTCAACTACCCCCCATCACCTCCAAATAGAACACCCTTCAACTACCCCCCATCACCTCCAAATAGAACACCCTTCCAACTACCCTCCAGCACCTCCTAACACAACACCCTCCAACTACCTCCAACAACTCCGGGGTACCGGCCACCTGCGTGCCAACCAACCACGCAAAGCCCCTCTCAACCACTGCCGGCATCCTGAACTCTCCCCACCCTAACCTCGTGTGTGTGCAGCCTGACCCGTACAAGGTAGACATCGCTAAGCGGGGCGCCGTGACGAGGAGGTTGTTGTGGGTTTTGTGCAGAGGTCGCAAACGGGTTTTGATTCCTTACCCGTACCCGCCCGTACCAGGGTCGCAAATGGGTACCCGTACCCGGTCGGGTACAGTCGGGTACAGGTACCCGTTCCCTACCCGTACCCGAAATGAGTGACAAACGGTTACTCACCAGTGACTCACGGCCTACCCGTACCCGGCCGCACCAGGGTCGCAAACGGCTACCCGTACCCGGCCAGGTACGGGTAGCCGGGTATCGGGTAGGGTACGGGTATCGGGTACCCGGTTGCGACCTCTGGTTCTGTGACTCTTTAAGCCAGGGGTGGGGAACGTATGAGACCCGATGGGCCGTACGAGGCCCATGAAATCATTTGGTGTCTGGCCCTGCCAAGGCAACTACCGGCGGGACTCGAAATTCAATACATTTAGGAGCAAACCTGGAAAAGTAGTTGCGAGTAGCAACAACATCATCAATACCAGCTAACATCATCACACGCCTCGCCAAAGAGAAGCAGTTCCAGCCATCGCATTAGGGGTGAGTTAATGAAATGTTTGACCAAATATCACGGGATAATTTTTAAGTTGATCATTTTGCATGGCCCGCGAATGATATTACAAATATCCAAATGGCCCTTGGCTGAAAAAAAGTTCCACACCCCTGGACTTTCAGCGTCGTCGTCGCCTTTGCCCCGGGGGGGCAGCAGTTGTAGAGCATCAACTCTGTCATGATGTGCAGGTACAGTAGTAACAATGATGTAACTCGCTTGATCTACAACGCCACATATCCGAACGTCGCCTATCAGCCCTGACCAACTATTCGCCCTCCCCACCCACCTCACTTATTGGCAGTATCTGTGCAGTTTTGCCAATTACATAATTCCAACAGATGTTCACAACACGTGCGAGTTGTGAAAAATGACAGCCGCCTCATGTTCCGTTGCAGAACAACGCGTTCTCCACACGTATACGGCACGTACAGATATCGCTTCATCGAAACCATTACACAACGGTGGGGTGGTGGGGTGGTGGTGGTGGTGGTGGGGTGGTGGTGGTGGTGGGGTGGTGGTGGGGTGGTGGGGTGGTGGTGGTGGTGGGGTGGTGGTGGGGTGGTGGTGGTGGGGTGGAGGTGTGGTGGGGTGGTGGTGGGTTGGTGGTGGGGTGGTGGTGGTGGTGGGGTGGTGGTGGTGGTGGGGTGGTGGTGGTGGTGGGGTGGTGGTGGTGGTGGGGTGGTGGTGGTGGTGGGGTGGTGGTGGTGGTGGGGTGGTGGTGGGGTGGTGGTGGTGGTGGGATGGTGGTGGTGGGTTGGTGGTGGGTTGGTGGTGGTGGTGGGGTGGTGGTGGGGTGGTGTGGTGGTGGGGTGGTGGTGGTGGTGGGGTGGTGGTGGGGTGGTGGGGTGGTGGTGGTGGTGGGGTGGTGGTGGTGGTGGGGTGGTGGTGGGGTGGTGGTGGGGTGGTGGTGGTGGGGTGGAGGTGTGGTGGGGTGGTGGTGGGTTGGTGGGTGGTGGGGTGGTGGTGGTGGTGGGTGGTGGTGGTGGGGTGGTGGTGGTGGTGGGGTGGTGGTGGTGGGTGGTGGTGGTGGTGGGGTGGTGGTGGGGTGGTGGTGGTGGTGGGTGGTGGTGGTGGTGGTGGTGGTGGGTTGGTGGTGGGTTGGTGGTGGGTGGTGGTGGTGGGGTGGTGGTGGTGGTGGTGGTGGTGGTGGGGTGGTGGTGGGGTGGTGGTGGGGTGGTGGGGTGGTGGTGGGGTGGTGGTGGTGGGGTGGTGGTGGGGTGGTGGTGGGGTGGTGGTGGGGTGGTGGGGTGGAGGTGTGGTGGGGTGGTGGTGGGTTGGTGGTGGTGGTGGGGTGGTGGTGGTGGTGGGGTGGTGGTGGTGGTGGGGTGGTGGTGGTGGTGGGTGGTGGTGGGGTGGTGGTGGTGGTGGGATGGTGGTGGTGGGTTGGTGGTGGGTTGGTGGTGGTGGGGTGGTGGTGGGGTGGTGGTGGTGGTGGGGTGGTGGTGGTGGTGGGGTGGTGGTGGGGTGGTGGGGTGGTGGTGGTGGTGGTGGGGTGGTGGTGGTGGTGGGGTGGTGGTGGGGTGGTGGTGGGGTGGTGGTGGAGGTGTGGTGGGGTGGTGGTGGGTTGGTGGTGGTGGTGGGGTGGTGGTGGGGTGGGGTGGTGGTGGTGGTGGGGTGGTGGTGGTGGTGGGGTGGTGGTGGTGGTGGGGTGGTGGTGGGGTGGTGGTGGGATGGTGGTGGTGGGTTGGTGGTGGGTTGGTGGTGGTGGGGTGGTGGTGGTGGGTGGTGGGGTGGGGTGGTGGTGGTGGGGTGGTGGTGGTGGGGTGGTGGTGGTGATGGGGTGGTGGTGGTGATGGGGTGGTGGTGGTGGGGTGGGGTGGTGGTGGTGGGGTGGTGGTGGTGGGGTGGTGGGTTGGTGGGTGGTGGGTTGGTGGGGTGGTGGGTTGGTGGGGTGGTGGGTTGGTGGGGTGGTGGGGTGGTGGGTGGTGGGGTGGTGGTGGGGTGGTGGGGTGGTGGGGTGGTGGGTTGGTGGGGTGGTGGGTTGGTGGTGGTGGTGGGTTGGTGGTGGTGGGTTGGTGGTGGTGGTGGTGGTGGTGGTGGTGGTGGTGGTGGGTTGGTGGTGGTGGTGGTGGTGGTGGTGGTGGTGGTGGTGGGTTGGTGGTGGTGGTGGTGGTGGTGGGTTGGTGGTGGTGGTGGTGGTGGTGGTGGTGGTGGTGGGTTGGGTTGGTGGTGGTTGGTGGTGGTGGTGGGTTGGTGGTGGTGGTGCAGTGGTGGGTTGGTGGTGGGTGGTGGTGGTGGTGGTGGTGGTGGTGGGTTGGTGGTGGTGGTGCAGTGGTGGGTTGGTGGTGGTGGGTTGGTGGTGGTGGGTTGGTGGTGGTGGTGGGTTGGTGGTGTGGGTTGGTGGTGGTGGTGCAGTGGTGGGTTGGTGGTGGTGGTGGGTTGGTGGTGGTGGTGGGTTGGTGGTGGTGGTGCAGTGGTGGGTTGGTGGTGGGATGGTGGTGTGATGGTGGCCTTAACCATCCTCCCAGCGACTACCGCACCTGCAGCAGGATCTGCGTGTCGCAGCCAAGCTCGGGGAAGCGCACGCGGCCCGGGAAGAGACCCGCGAGCGAGCGCATGGCCCAGCACAGCGCCACGGTGACCGCGCACTGGTAGAAGGTGACGAAGAGCGGCGCGTCGAGACCCTCCGAGGCTCCCGCGCCGCCCAGGAGGTGCTTGTTGAGGAACACCATGCTGACGGACACGAGCCAGTAGAGAGCCACCACCAACGCGATGCGGACCGAGCGCTGGGCGAGACCCGTGGGGCCGCGGCCGTCGTCGGACACCGGCTGCAGCATGGCCAGGCGGTGCGGAGAGTCGGAGTCGTTGTCGGTGGTGGTGGTGGCGGTGGTGGCGGTGGGGCGAACGCGTCGCTCTAACGGGACCGCGCGTTCCCGCGGACGCGATGGGAGCATTCTGGCGCGGCGGCGAGCATCGTACGAGCTTTGGTGGTGCGGTTAATGTTGACGAGGAAAGAATGAGCGACAACGATTGTTATTGTGATTGTTGTTGTTGCAGCAGCCGCGGTGGCGTTAATGTCGTGCGAGGGGCTTGCTGCTAGAGCAGAGCAAGCCTCGCGTTGCTGCTGTTGCTGCTTGACACGCGCGGGATCAGCTGACTCGCGGCGGCGATGACGTCATGTCGCGCACGAGGCGGTGACGTCAGAATGCAGAGGTGCGATGCAAAACGTTTCAGGGAGACGTCCGTGAATGACGTCACGTAATTTTGGACGATTTTTGACCCCCCCCCTCCTCTCGTCACGCGGCGTCACAAAGTCAGACCCCTCCCCCCCTCTGAAATGTGACGTCACAAAGCACTGCCCCCCCCCAAAAATGCTTTAAATCGCTTTAAACTAATTGTAGTGCGTATTTAATGTGGCGCTGCACTCTGATGTAGGAGAAAACATTTATAAAAAATATATATTTCATTAAGTAGAACGTGTTGTCTATATTTATTTAAAGTTGCGCAATTTTATGTGACGTCATATTTCTCAAACCCCGCCCACCCCGTCACACATCGTCACAAATATCTGACCCCCACCCCCCTAGGTGCGTGACGTCATTTATGGACGGCCCCTAAAAGGTAACAGTTGCATGCGTGACGTTTTTATATATGTTTTTTTTACAAGCGCGCGCGATTGCGAACGGCCTAGTTTTTTGGTTGTTGCATAAATTCTGCTAAACCAGAATGCCTTTGGTGACGAAGCCGTCATTACGTAGAAATGAAACTAAAAAAATTGATGGCCGGCGATGACGTAATCACGTAGCACCTCACGTCCTCACAGCCATCAAATGCGACGCGATGACGTAATCACGTAGCACCCCACGTCCTCACAGCCGTCAAATGCGACGCGATGACGTAATCACGTAGCACCTCACGTCCTCACAGCCGTCATATGCGACGCGATGACGTCATCGCGTGGCACACAGCGGGTGAGTGACGTAATCACCTGCCATTTGTAGACGTCATCGCAGCACGGCATGAAGTAGGTCTTTTGACGTCATCGCGCAAGACGTTTAGGCTGTGACGTAATTACGTACAATTCCGGCCCGACGACAACCCGTCTTGCAACGTCATGACGTCGCCGACGTGACGTCATCACGTACATCTTTCCCCGGAAGAAGCTACGTAAACGTGGGGCCGTGATGATTTAAATGAATATTGGGCGCTCTACGGGGGAGATCGGAACGATTGTCCTTTACAACCCGACGCCAGGTACGAGTCTCTGCCAAGACGAATGCAAACTGTGGCCTTCCTTTCAGCGTCTCGCGTACGCGGTGTTTTGCGCTTCGACGCCACCCTGAATGACACGCCGTCCTCGGCTAGTTTGCCCGCCGGGTTCCTTCGCTCCTGCTCGGTAGAAGTTCCTAGGCCTTGCGGGGGCTGCACTCGGGAGCAGGGGCGAGCTTTCATTACAAGTGTGTAATTTTGATTGCGATTGAATGAAGTCGTTATCATCATCATCACCATCGGCTCGTGTGCAGGTGCTAGGCGGATTGTTGCTTCCTATGATCGCGAGGGATGGCGACAGCTTAGAGAAGACTTAGTCCAGCAGTGGACTGATCATGACTCGTGATGATGATCACTTCGTAATTGTAGCATGCCTTTGATTGTCGCAGTGCTCTGCGCTACGAACCTGTGGTCGATTGCCGGCCACGGTATCTGAACCTGGCTTGAATCTCCCTTAGGTTGCCTCGGTCTTAAACGATTACTGAATCTGTTGCGATGTGCAAACGTTAGCATTGTGGGGAGACTCAAGGCCGCTCAGTGCTGGTCAAACCACCCTCTCGTGAGTTCTTAATGAAGGTCTCTAACTTGCAATTCTAAGTGATAAAAACACATCTATACGGAATATTGTGTTTTAAATTAACACGTAACAAGTATGGTCCTTTGCCGTTCCACGACTGTTTTTTTTTGTCTGTACAGCACTTCACCACGATGGTTATTGCTAGATGTATTACTCGGGACTAGTTGGTGTATCACTCACCACTGATGCTAGAGCTGTATTGTACTCGGGTATCGAACAACAATGCTTTTTATCAGTGCAATGACGCGCACAACATCTCTGCTATGTTACGTTTAAGTAAACGCAGCAATACGAATATCAGTTGTAAACATTTTCACGTGGTATAGCGATGTAAATGTTAAAGTACGTGAAACTGGCAACGATGATCAGTAATCCTATACTTCGTAAGAATTCTGTCGATATACGGTCACGCCCGAGGAGTGTATGTCCGGAATGATCCTGATAACACTTTATTGACGTATACATTATACAGTAAAAGCTGATTTTGCTGGGTATAATTCCTTTACTGTACTTGTTATTTACACCGGCTTTCCCATTTCGTAATAATGCAATTCGTGCATGGTCAACGTCAGTGTTGTTATAACCCCATTGCAAATGTCAACGGAAGCGCCACGTCCATCGGTATCATCTGGTTTGACCTTTATGCGAAATGCATTGGCTAATCATCAACCATTGCAATGCAAAATTGAAGAAGACTGCCATTTGTTAAGGATTGGCATAGAACATTGCATCGTTTTAACAATGGAAATCCATTCCTCCACTCACAATGCATTAATTGTTTACGTGGCAATGTATGATTTACGAAGAAGACTGCCATGCGTTAAGGATAGGCATACAACATTGCATCGTTTTAACAATGGAAATCCATTCCTCCACTCACAATGCATTAATTGTTTACGTGGCAATGTATGATTTACGATGTATCCAAATGATATGCTAAGGTGCAAATGTATTTTTTTTTGCAATTGGGAGAGATAAATCTCCATTGGCACAAGACGACACACATGTAACGGTAAAAAACGAGATGGAAAAAAACACATTTCCTTTAGTCCGCTTATGAAAATGTAACAACAACTGTCAGGGTAAATGATTCGTATGTCTCTTTAAAGTTGCACATTACTGCAGTATTGTATTACAGTTGCATACCATCCCCTTGTTTGCTGCTGGAGATTTCAACTCTTTTAATGATGCACTCATACATAGTGCAACTGAATATTTTGAAATGAGTATAATTACATACCAACAGCGTATTCGCCCTGGCACGTTAACCAATTAGGCGGACGTGTCAATAGAAACTTTTTTTGTATTCTCCAAAAATTGAAGTCCTGGTTTTTCATTGGTAACATTGGGTTTGAATCCTGACTCTTGATATGTGGAGTTTGTACGTTCTCCCCTTATTTCACATGGAGCCTTTTCGGGTTCTCTGTTTTCCTCCCATAGCAAATGTCATACATTGAAATTATTGTTGTTCAGGCATTTCAAAGCAGGACTCTTCAGAAAACAAATCTTGAAAATCAGTGTGGCTTTCCTGGATGAATGTGTAATTATTATATTAGGTTGTCCACATGGTGTAGAGTCAGTAAACTAATTGCCTCTCGTAATATATATGTATAAGCAGAACTCTGGTCTGTGTCTAGACATGTACATGATCATGTTTCGGTCTATCGATCTATTGGCTATCCAAATCAGTTATATCAATATTATCCAGATTCATATTCTTGGTTCTTTCGGTAAAGTCACGTAGAAGGGAAACAATAAGATAATAAAATTATAAAACAATAAATTCTCACGACGTTTCATGACTTTACCAAAAGAACCAAGAATATGAATCCCTGCAGTCACGAAAGCTTTAAATCAAAATTATCCAGATTGTTAAACGGCTTATTTCACAAATGCTGCTGGGTTACTTGGTGTTATGGCAGGAAACAGCATTTGTCCCTTGTCTTGTGCCCGTTGTCCCGGTGGGTGGAGGACATTGCAGACTGCCATGGAGTCAATGCTGAACAAGCTGAAGAGCACCGTCACCAAAGTGACAGCAGATGTGACGAGTGCTGTGTCGGTGGTGCTGGGCAACCCGGTCACACGCGAGTTTGAAATCACCCGCCATGTCGCCAGTGGAGGGCCAGCACTCTCCTGGAAGATTTACCATGGCTTCAAGAAGTCTACCAAACAGGTGTGGACATCTTCTTGCGTTGACGAGCCCATTCTCCGTTAGGTATTCCTCTCTTTCTAGTTCCTTTCATTTTTCATGTACATTTACCATGGCTTCAAGAAGTCTACCAAACAGGTGTGGACATCTTCTTGCGTTGACGAGCCCATTCTCCGTTAGGTATTCCTCTATTTCTAGTTCCTTTCATTTTTCCTGTACAACACACTTTTTTATTTTCCCATTGTTTATCCTGCATATGTACGCAAATAGTGCCAGTTGCCTTCTCATAACTCCCTGCATCAGGTCTTCTTCTATGAAACATATCATTGAATTAATTTGATGGCTCTCTTAGCAATGCATATGTTATGAAAGCCTCCTACAGCTCTTGTTACTATAGCGTGAAGTAAAACGCAAAGAGAAAGTTTCAATTACCTGTGTTTACTATAAATCACATGTCATTGTACAGCTTTTTAAACTTTTATAAATTAATTGAAAGTTATTCTTTGAGGCAATAGTTTCATTGTACATCGCAGTAGTAATATGGATAAAATTGGCTGATACTTTGGGAGCATAATATGCACATCGTGGTTTGTAGATTCATATTAATTCTTGCACTCATGATACATTGATGAAATTATAATGTCAAGGATTTTATCTTTTACAATATATGCACATTACGTGCAAATGTTTTTTTTTCTAGGCTGATGAAACTAAAGAGGCAGAACATACGTGACATTACGAATGAGACAAAAAAATAATTGAACATGGCACAATCGTTACAATTAATTGAGTCTCAGTGGGGTGGTTAATCATCACATGCTGAGGGCATACATTTTACATCTCTGTCAAGCAATACTTAGGCGTGTAAAATTCATGAACACATTTTGGGCCATTTACCCTCGGCCTGTTTTTTTTTATGTTGCCTTATATACAATTCGTAGCAGCTGATGGGGTTTTCATCCATTAAAGAGATCATTACTATGTAAACAGGTATTTTTGTTTACGTACCCCTTGATTGTTTGTATTTGTCACATTAGCTTTGCTCTCGTTATGCTTAATGATTAATAGTGTAAACATCCCATCCTGTTGTGGTTGAAGAGCCTCTTGAAAGTGCTTATGTATTATTTAAAATCCTGATGGCTGTTTCATGTGTGTGATGAATATGAATAATTAAATTT